CTATTTGGGAAAATCAGTTCTATTAGATAGTTTTAAAATTTTTATTTAATTCTTGTGATGCATAGTTAAATACTATTTTTCTTAGCACACATTCTTTAAAGGAACTAGAAAAAAGTTAATGTCCTATTTCTATCGCAAATCCAATTATATCATGAGAGAACAATTTATAATTTATTAGAGCCCATTTCTAAGAATTTAACTCATTTGCCCCTTTTTTCAAAAAGGGGTATTTTCTTGGTAAGATAACTTTAAGATCAAACGGAGTACTAGGTTCAGTATCAAAACTAGGAATCAGTATCAAAACGTGATTTCTAAGAATGACATTCTCCAAGTGTCTGAATTTTAAACACAAATATAATCATTTACCAATAGACTAACAATTCAACTCTAAAAAGTATATCTTTTTTTTAGACAAAAGTTATAATGAATTAACTATTTTTGTTGTGAAAAAATAAAGCCTAACCTTTGAAACTGCTACAAGACGTACTCTTGATTTGAAAGGAGTAGGGAAGGCAATTGAAAAAATACAGTTTTTCACTTTACGAACATAATTTTCTTTAACAGGATCGACTGGCAACACAGCTGATTAAAAAAAACAACAAAATCTCTTAGTGTTTTCATTTGTCTCATAGACAACATTAACATTCCTCAGAAGGACTACAGTTCTTCGAGAAAATCAATTTATACCACTGTTTTCTTCCTACTTTGTTATTTAAAGCCTATTTTGTCATTTTCAACCATATCTATCCAATATTCATGTAATACAGTAAATGGAGCCACCCAAGAAGATGGGAGATGGAAAAAGTTTAAAACAAGATACATACCCTGTCTTTGAGGATTTCACTTGTGGGAGACCAACAGGATGCACAATATGTTTATAAATAAGGATGTATAAATGAAGTGGAGGTGAGCAGCATTATAGTTTTAGAATTACAGTACTAGCCAATTCAGTGGAATTCAACCAAAAAATATTAGGCAGTTAATCACATTCTTTCTGCCCTTCAGAAAATCATAATTACTGATAGAAACAGATACATATAAAAAACTCTAATACCACGCAACAGATGTTTTACTAAATGTACAAAACATGCGCTAAAGCACATGTACCTTATTTTTTTTTTTAATTTTATTTATTTATTTGAGAGAGAGAGAATGAGAGATAGCACGAGAGGGAAGAGGGTCAGAGGGAGAAGCAGACTCCCTGCTGAGCAGGGAGCCCGATGCGGGACTCAATCCCGGGACTCCAGGATCATGACCTGAGCCGAAGGCAGTTGCCCAACCAACTGAGCCACCCAGGCGCCCACATGTCCCTTATTTTAAAAGCTGCACAAAAAGAGTTCTGAACATGCTTTAGATACTCAGAACGTATTTTCTTTTAAGTACAATTTAAAAAATCTTAATCTGTTTTCCTAATCCAAACCAATTAAAACAAAAAACAAACACAAGAGGGTAGGTGTATTACTAAAATCACAAAACAAGGGGACACAAAAACTTGTTTTTGGATAGAGATTATATTGTCAAGATATCAGTGTAACCAAATTATTTAATAAACCTATGGAAACCCAACCAACATCCTAGCAGGATTTTTTTTGAAGAAAGAGATCATCTTAGGGCGCCTGGGTGGCTCAGTTGGTTAAGCGTCTGCCTTCAGCTCAGGTCCTGGGGTCGGGTTCCCTGCTCAGTGGGGAGCCTGCTTCTCCCTCTCTCTCTCCTGCTCCCCCTGCTTGTGAGTTCTCTCTTTCTCAAATAAATAAAATCTTAAAAAAACAACTGATCAGCTTAAAGTGTAAATCTTGAAAAATAAAAACTGATGTTTTAGAAATGGGAGTTTTCTTATAAATTATGAGAACACAATAACTAAAAATAGTTATCCCAGAAATAGATGCAAAGAACAAAGGGACTCAATAAAAAGAACAGAAACAGCCCAAAGTCATGTTAAGAATTCTCAATATAATGAAAATGATATTTTGAATCAGTAGGGAAAGGTGGCATCAAGATACATCAAGATCCAACTGTTCGGATTAACTTCTATTTATCCCACCCAAGCCTAGGTGAACCAAATGTCAGTTATAACAGAAATAAGAGGAATCTTCTATCTTTCCCAGATGAGTATAAAAACAGGCAAATGTGGACCAGATTTAACCTTTATATCTTCCCCTAAATACATGGTACATAAGGCACATTATGGGGAACAAATGGGTAGTCAGCCAAAAAACAGCTGATTTCAGCATTCACCACAGAAAACCTGACAATATGATTAAAAGTAGAAGATCCCACAGTGTATTTTCTACTCTTTTAGGAGAGCCACTATGTGGAAATAGACTAAATTATAATTTGTTCACTTATCATGATGCCCTAACATTTTAGTAGCGCACAGACAGTATTTACTGTTCATTAATACCCATGATTTTGTACTGACTGACTTACATTTTGGCAAGGTAGTTTATCAGCCAATACATTTAATCATTGGCTGTGGAACAAGAGGCCAACTGCTTCAGAGGTCCCCAGCCCTCACCCTTGTTACACTTTAACCAAATGATCAGTCATAAACTACAAACCCAACCCAAGACAAAATTCCAGATGCATAGTAAGTCTTTATCTTAACATCTCAGAGAAATCAGTAATTCCAATTAAATTCTGTGGTATTCAGCTTTGCCTAAGAATATGAAATCCACAAAACCCACGAATCTTTCAGTTTAATGATGTCTGAACCTCTTCTCTCAATAAACATTCTTACCACAGTGACCTTGGTAATTCATTGATCATTTATCTGATAACATCAGGATGAGACGTTTTCAGGCAGTACTATGGATCAAGACATGGTATACATCTATACATAGTATCATGTATATAATCCCTCCTTGGCTGTAAAACCTGGTCCTACCACAGAGCATGTTTTGAACAGTATCACTATGTAAAGAAAATGTCTTATTAAAGTACAGTCAACTCTCCAACATTGAAATAGCAACTTTGAAAATGCTTTCAATTACACACTTATTCCATGTTTATCAGTCATTACTGGTTGCTTCATTCATAAAAGTACAGTCAAAATGACCCAAGTTGTTCCTAGCCTGTGCATAGAGGGGTCTGTTCTTTGGCAGTTACTTGCACAGCTCAATGGTTTTAACTTCCTAGACACAGGCTTGGCCTCTTTGGCTCGGGAGAGACGGCTCGCCCAGACAGAAGGTCCCGCTTGGTCGCTCCCGGTACCAGAGGCGGCAGCGGGGCGACAGGCGGCTCCCGCGAGCTCGGGGCAGGCGAGTGGGCGAGCGCCCGAGGTTCCGCGCGGCCGTCCCAGGATGCATGTATTCTGCATGACCTATTGGTAGGGTTATATAGCTCATCAAAAGTGTAGCTATACTATAATTTTGGAAACCTTCACAAAGTTTATCTGCTTTCCCTACTTAGCCTTGCATATATTCCATCTTTTTAAGAGCTAGGTGTTTTGTTTTAATCAGGGAAAACTATCTCTAAATGAAAATGGCCTGGTAGATAGAGCTGTATCTGCCAACTGTGAGCTTGGCAAGACATGTAAATCCTCCTATCTGTGTCCCTATCTGTCAAAAGAGGCAAATGATAATACCTAAGTTGTAGGATTATTGTAAATACAAGTGTTTATTGCTACACTTTACCATGGCAAAGTCTAGCTGTGGCGTATTTCTTAATATACAAGCCTGTATCAAGCCACAGATGTGTACTAACAACCTTTATTTGTAAAGCACCTGACATTTTTTTTTTTACATCATATTCCTCAAGATTGGGGAAAAAATCCTAAACTTGGCTTATTTTAGCAAACCTTATTCTATGCACTTATTCCGTAAAAAAAACAACACTTTGAAGATAAATATAAAAAGAATGTGCTCAGCTATACCACGGGTACTTTACTTTTTAAATGCAAAAAGCATGGTTCAAAAGAACAGACAAAAATTTTAGAGAATTGTAGTTGCCTATTTGCTGGTCTATTTCCTCATAAAGGTGAATTTTTTGAGGACAGATGAAGCTTCTTTCATTTCTGTATCCCTAACGCCTACACTTTCTCTCCCTGGCTCTGTTTGTGTGCACCACGGATTGCTGTTATAAGTACGCTTTCTCATTACCATGAGAAGAGTAGATCTGGCCATAGAACCAAGGAGAGGTCTTTCTAACCCACGTCAGGTACTAATCTTGTACATAATTCCAGTATCCCCAAGGCTGGCAAATGTGTCCAACATTACCAAATACTAAACAATTTCACACAGCTAAGTACACCCACGAGTGGGACTCCCATCTAGATATGAGCAACACTGCCAAACTATGCCACGATGTACCTATAAGGTTTTCGGAGGACAGAGTCCAAAAGTCGAGAGACAAGGCTAATTTAGCTTCTGTCTCACAAAAGCCCAGCTCGTGGTGCGACACGTTACTGGGAAGATGCCAAAGGCGGGCACTTCCTTCCAGGCCAGGGAGCAAGGAGCAGCGGACAACGGCGTGGCAGGTCACGCCCAAGAGAAACAGCGGCGGACACCGGAGCCCCCGGGTTAGGCGGCAAAACAGGAGCCCAATTCTTTGAGTCATCTCTCTGCCTAAACAAGCAGAAGAGAAGAGCTGCCGACTGGAGGTCTGGGCGCGGTGGCAGTTCTTGTTACCGGCCGCTCTCCCAAAGGTCCAATTTTGCTATGACCGCTGGAGCTCCTGGCTCCCCGGAGCGGCGGGCAGGGGCTCGGGAGAGACGGCTCGCCCAGACAGAAGGTCCCGCTTGGTCGCTCCCGGTACCGGAGCCGGCAGCGGGGCGACGGGCGGCTCCCGGGAGCTCGGGGCAGGCGAGAGGGCGAGCGTCCGAGGTTCCGCGCGGCCGTCCCGGGAGCGCGCCTTCCGGCGCCAGGCCCGGGAGGAGCGAGAAGCGGCGACCCGCGTGGGGCCCAAGCTCTTCCTGTGCCAAGTTTCCGGCTCCGGGTCCCGGGAGGCGGACCGCCGGGCCACAGGCGGAGCCAGCGCCCCGCCGCGGCTTTCAGACTCTGACCATGGCCTCAGGCGGGTGGCCCTGGCGGCGCTGCTGCTCCTGGAGGCCGGCGGCCCGGAGCCCCGGGCCCGGCTCCCCCGGCCGCGCGGGGCCGCCCCGGACGCCCTCGGCTGCAGACGCGGGCGCTCAGGTGAGGCCCCGAGGCGCGCGCGGCGGCCGGGCGCAGAGGTCACGGCGCCAATGACAGCGGCGCGGCAGAAATGAATGGGAGCTAGCGGCACGTGCGTCGGGGCTGGGGGCCGCGGGGCTGCGCTGCGGGGGGACCCCGGGCTGGCTGGGCGCCGGGACCCGAGCCGCGCCGGGGCACGTGGAGCGGTGGGCGCCGGGCGTCTGCCTGAAGCAGGGGCGCCCGGCGCGAGACTGCAGAACGTGGTCCCGGGGACCCGGACGCCTCGGGGCTTGGGGAGGGAGCGGTGAGGAGCCAGGCCTTGGGGGAAGGCGGGGGGCGGCGGGGTAGTCAGGTTGTCTCCTGGGGTAGGGAGCCAGTGAAGCCTGGAGACCCGACTGCACCCGTTTCCTTTCGGATTTCAGCCAGGGCTTCAGGAGGACAGGTCTTAATTAGGATTTTAGAGCAAAAGGTGCCCTGAGATCCAGGTGGGCTCGGAATAGGCGGTTTGTGGAGAGTATGTAGGGCTAATGCCCTGGGTGCACCGCATTTCTGTCGTACAGTAGTTGCTTCCCCGGGAGACCCCACCCGGACGGGGTGGAAGGGCACTGGAAGAAAAGGCCTGAGGATGTCACAAGTAGAGAAACATTGAACTTTGATGTGACTTCTTGAGTTGAGTCAGAATCTCAGCACTAAGCGTGACTACTTGACTCTCTCCTGTACAGCTCTTGGGCCCGACCTCATTTTTCTCCCTTTCCGGCCAGTTTAGCTTCTGTAAAGTGACATGTTCTGTGGCTCCATAAGTCTTTTTTTTTTTTTTTTAATTTTATTTATTTATTTGAGAGAGAGAGAGAGAGAATGAGAGATAGAGAGCACGAGAGGGAAGAGGGTCAGAGGGAGAAGCAGACTCCCTGCTGAGCAGGGAGCCCGATGTGGGACTCGATTCCGAGACTCCAGGATCATGACCTGAGCCGAAGGCAGTCGCTCAACCAACTGAGCCACCCAGGCGCCCGGCTCCATAAGTCTTAACTGCACTTTGTAGTGGTTGATTCTCAAAGTGCTATAGGGTAGCACTGTTTGGGATAATTGAGCAAAATCTGTAGACTCACTGTCCTTTTTGGAGACTTCTCCAGTCACATAGCAATTATTATGTGTTCCCCTTTCATCCACAAGACTCAGGGTTTTTTGTTTTTTTGTTTGTTTGTTTGTTTTTAAGTTTATTGAATTTAGGACTCTTCTATTTCAGTTGGCTTTGGGACACTTCATATTCCCATGTATTCCTCAAACATCAGTTACCTATATGAAATATGTAGCATTTATAAATGTATACTTTGTACCAAGGTGGATACATATCACAACTCACCCAGAACAGGCACCTGGAGAGAGAATAGCAGCAGGGCCAGCAAACAGCTAGTAAAAAGAGAATATGGGCGAAGAGTCTCAGGACTTTGCTGGGATCCATTTCAGTACTGTTCTAACCAGACTTCAATATTTCTAGCATCACAGATGAAGGCATTATTTGGAGAGATGTTTGCACCCTCCATCTAATAGCACTGGATACTTCTTTGACACTCCTTTTTTAAAATGTATTTAAATTCCAGTATAGGGGCGCCTGGGTGCCTCGGTCGTTAAGCGTCTGCCTTCTGCTCAGGTCATGATCCCAGGGTCCTGGGATCGAGCCCCACATCGGGCTCCTTGCTCGGCGGGAAGCCTGCTTCTCCCTCTGCCGCTCCCCCTGCTTGTGCTCGCTCACGCATGCTCTCTCCTTCTCTCTCTCAAATAAATAAATAAAATCTTTAAAAAAATAAATACATTCCAGTATAATTAATGCACAGTATTATGTTAGTTTCAGGTGGGCAATGTACTGATTTGACAATTCCATACATTGCTCATCAGGATAAGTGTACTCTTGATCCCCTTCACCTGTTTCCCCCACGGACCTCCCCTCTGGTAACCATCAGTTTGTTCTCTATAGTTAAGAACCTGTCTTCTGGTTTGTCTCTTTTTTCTATGTTCATTTGTTTTTTAAATTCCACATGTGAGTGAAATCATTTCTCTTCATGACTTATTTCAGTTAGTGTTATACTCTCTAGCTCCATCCATGTTGTTGCAAATGGCAAGGTTTCATTCTTTTAATAGATGAGTAATATCCCATTGTATATATACCACATCTTCTTTATCCATTTACCTATCAATGGAAACTTGAGTTACTTCGATATTTTAGCTATTGTAAATAACACTGCCGTAAACATAGGGGTGCATATATCTTTTCAAATTCGTGTTTTTGTACTCTCTGGGTAAATACCCAGTGGTGGAATTACTGGATCATATGGTAATTCTGTTTAATTATTTTGAGGAAACTCCATACTATTTTCCACAGTGGCTGCATCAGTTTGCATTCCCCCCAACAGTAAACGAGTATTCCTTTTTCTCCACATCCTCAGCACTTGTTTCTTGTGGTTTTGATTTTAGCCATTGTGACAGATGTGAGGTGATATCTCGTTCTGATTTTAATTTGCATTTCTGTAATGATTAGTGAGGTTGAGCATCTTTTCATGTGTCTATTGACCATCTGTATGTCTTTGGAGAAATGTCTGTTCATGTCTTCTGCCCATTTTTAATTGGATTATGTGTTTTTTTGGTGTTGAGTTGTATGAGTTCTTTATATATTTTGGCTACTAACCCCTTATATATGATCTGTAAAGATCTTCTCCTGGTCAGTAGGTTATCTTTTCATTTTGTTGATTGTTTGCTGTACAGAAGCTTTTTATTTTGATATAGTCCTGACACTCCTTTTTTTTTTTTTTTTTTTTTGATGACGTTCCCACTGAACAACTTTTCCAGCCACAGAAAGGGTGCTTTCCTGGAGAGAATGTGCTCAGTGTTTTCCATGTCTGCTTTCATGACCACAGGGTGGTACTACACTGATGATGCCAATGCCATATATTGCTGATTCATGTGTCATCACTATTTTCACTATAAATGAAGACATTGGCCTTCTGGTGTCTACCTCAGCATGTGTCTTTGGTTACTTCAAGTCTCTTAGGGCCTGATAATCCTAACAAAGAGCAACAATGATAAAAGCCACGTCTGCCCTCAGACGCAGCTCTGTTTCCTGATATATGTACATTCTCCCAACTTCACCTGTGGTAGCATTAACAAATCCTGTAATAGGACAGAAACTGGTGTGCATCTGTTACTGCCAAATCACTTGTCAGTTTTTGATTCTTACTCAGCATTTTTTTTTTTTTTTTTAAGTAAATTCATGGGGGCACCTGGGTGGCTCAGTCAGTTAAGCGTCTGCCTTTGGCTCAGGTCATGATCCCAGGATCCTGGGATCGAGCCTCACATCGGGCTCCCTGCTCCGCGGGAAGCCTGCTTCTCCCTCTCCCACTCGCCCTGCTGTGTTCCCCTCTCGCTGTGTATCTCTCTGTCAAATAAATAAAATCTTTAAAAAAAATTAAAATCAATTCAATTTAGTTTACATATAGTGTATTATTAGTTTCAGGGGTAGAATTTACTGGTTCATCGGTTGCATATAACACCCAGTGCTCATTACATGAAGTGGCCTCCTTAATGCCCATCACCCAGTTACCCCATCACCTGGTTACCCCATCTTCCCACCCAACTTCCCTCCAGCAACCCTCAGTTTGTTTCCTATAGTAAGAGTCTCTTACGGTTTGCCTCCCTTTTCATCTTATTTTAGTTTTCCTTCCCTTCCCGTGTATTCATCTGTTATGTTTCTTAAATTCCACATATGAGTGAAATCATATGGTATTTGTCTTTCTCTGACTAACTTATTTCACTTAACATAATACATTATAGTTCATCCATGTTGATGCAAATGGCAAGATTTCTTTTTGATGGCTGAGTAATATTCTAGTGTGTGTGTATATTCTATTTAAGTATCCATTCATCTGTTGACGGACATCTGGGCTCTTTCCATATTTTGGCTATTGTGGACATTGCTGCTATAAACATTAGGGTGCATGTGCCCCTTCAAATCACTATTTTTGTATTCTTTGGATAAATGCCTAGGAGTGCAATTGCTGGGTCATAGGGTAGAACTACCTTAGCTATGTAATTTTAACTCTTTACCCCAGGTTAGAGGTTAGGTCTCAAACTAACTATTACAGTGAATTACTGAATTCGTATGAACTAATTACCCATGAAGCTGGAAGAAGTAGGCTAAATGTCATATAATGGTAAAATTAAAAGAGAGGATTATCACCTGGCTTTCTTGGGACATTATAAATGTTCTTACTGGTTTAATGAATATATAATGCTATGGTGGAAAGCCTAGAATTCAGCCAGTCTTCCTTGGCCACTGCCTGCCTGGCAAAGTCAACCTTTACTCTCATTTTAATATGTCTAAAGCAATATGTGTTCACTAGAGAATCAGAAAATAGAAACCAAAAAAGGAATAAAACAAAACCTATTTATTAAAAAATAAATAACTACTTTTAATACCCTAGTTTATATGCTTTTAAACCCTATTCTCTGTGATTTTATTTGTGCATGTATGTATGTGTAAGTTTTTAGTGGGATCACAGAACATGTATGGTTTTGTAACTGCTTTTTTCTTTTGTTTTATTTTTAAAAGATTTTATTTATTTACTTAGCGTGTCTGCATGTGCCTGAGCAAGGGGAGGGGCAGAGGGAGAGGGAGAGAATGAATCCCAGGTAGACTCTGCGCTGAGCACAGAGGCTCTATCCCACAACCCTGAGATCATGACCTGAGCTGTAATCAAGATTCAGACCCTCAACCAACTGAGCCACCTAGGCGCCCCCTTGGTTTTTTCTTTTGATATATTGTCAACATATCTGTATATCAGTTTTCAGACTTGACTTTTCTGAATTTCAAGTTCCCCAGCTGTATAAAAACAAGTAGTTTGTGAGGGTCAAATAGCGTAAAACCATGTTGTAAGACTTTATTACAAATAGAGTGGATTCGTTTTATTTTTCTTGTGTTAAATTCATCCTTTTTGTCAAAACACTTTCTTCACAGGCATCTGGGTGGCTCAGTTGGTTGGCTGACTTTGGCTCAGTTCATGATCCCAGGGTCCTGGGATCAAGTCCCCCAGCCCCATGAGTCCCCCAGCCCCCATCGGGCTCTCTGCTCAGCAGGGAGCCCGCTTCTCCCTCTTCCTGCTCCCCCTGCATGCGCACTCTCTTGCACTCTCTCTCTCTTTCTCTGACAAATAAATAAAATCTTAAAAAAAAAAACCCTTCTTCAAATACAGAGCCCTTACCACATTAAATTAGTAAATCAGTAATTTTTTTTTTTAAGTAACCTCTATGCCCAAGGTCAGGCTCAAACTCATGACTCCTGAGATCTAGAGTCGCATGCTTCACGGACTGAGCCAGTCAGGGGCCCCGTAAGTTAGTAATTTTTGAAATGACTGTGTCCCTGCATTCTTTAAGACTGGTGGTCTGTATCTTTGGGCCACAGTGCCTGTCACATTTCCTGGCCCATAGTAGTGCTCAGTAATCTTTGGAACTAATATTTCTCTCCACCACCTCTGAATCTTTTAGTAATCTTCTGTTTTGTTTTGTTTTTTTTTAAAGATTTTATTTATTTGAGAGAGAGAGAGAGAATGAGAGATAGAGAGCACGAGAGGGAAGAGGGTCAGAGGGAGAAGCAGACTCCCTGCTGAGCAGGGAGCCTGATGTGGGACTCGATCCCGGGACTCCAGGATCATGACCTGAGCTGAAGGCAGTCGCCTAACCAACTGAGCCACCCAGGCGCCCTTCCTTATATTTTCTGTAATGATAAATGTTGCTTTTGTAATAAGGAAATTTTTTATTATCTTCCTGAAGTTTGCAATCTACCTACAAAGGGACAACTAAAAGATAAAGATTATAAAAAAAGATAAAGATTATATTTATTATGAATTCTATGATTATTATGAATGTTTTTATTTATCTGGCATTATAAATACATTTTTCATAAATATTCTTACAGGTTTGTTAATACTTTTATTTTATAGATGTCCTATTTTAATTTTGTGAAGAGTTTAACATCTGCTTTTCTACATAGGTATAGTATGTCACGGTAAGTTTATGATCTGTGTTATAACTGCTAAAATTATTAGCCATATTGCCAGTAAATTTCTATTCTCAATTGTGGTGGGCTAGTCCAACAAATTGAATATTTTGGTTAACTAAGTGCCACAATATCTGCTCTGTGTGACCTCTGCCTTTTTAAAAAATGGGAATGTAATAACATTTAAACCCAGAACACCATTAACCAGTTTAGTCTTTGATTTTGTGGGTTCTCAAGGTCCTGGGTTTAAAAATAAACTATTGCTGTATTGTTGAGCAAGAACAGAATTCTATGTGTTTTTCTAAATTATAATGACCATTTTGGATTTGTGCTTAATTTCCAGCAAGTAGAAGTATATATAATTCTTACTAAAAAACGAAATTATCTCACTTAATAAAACTCACTTAACCTTGTGTGCGTTTGTGCTTGTCCCAGGTTCCATCACACGACGTTGGCAGTGTGCTGTTGTAGCAAAACACAGAGTGGGGAGAAATACACTGACCCCTTCAAACTCGGTTGGAGAGACTTGAACGGTCTGTATGAGGACATTAGAAAGGTAAGCTCGGTTTGAATGTGCTCGGAAGTAATGTTGGTTTCTGAGAATTGTGAACAGACGGTGCAGGTTTTCAGATACGTCCCGTGCCGTCGCAAACGTGATTCATGAGTGCCTGGGCGCCTGCTTGGTCGCCATTTACAAGCCTGCCTGCACCCGTCTGCGTGCTGGTCTTTGTGCCCCCCGGGGAAGCCACACTTCCCTCAGGGCCAGCATCTGTCCCGCTGCGTATCGCAGTTACTGTGTTCCTTCTCCCCATGCAGACGGAGCTCCTCAAAGGCAGGGACAGTCTTATTTTTCTTTGTGACCTCTGCATTTATTACTATGCTTGGCACTGAGGTCGATATTTTGGTGAGTTAAAGACTGGCGCCGCTGTAGCATGTTTCCCTGAGCCTGGCTGAGGGTCCTCAGGGGCCGTTCTTAGCTCCCATTGCTTTGGGACATAAGCTGTGATTCATTCTAGCAAGTCCTTCAGAGGCACCTACAACAAACACAAGTCCATCACCTAGAAGGCTCTCCCCCCTCTTCATGAATCAAAATCCTACTTATTCTTTAAATCCAGGTCGAAGCTTCTATCCTCCATTAAATATTTGGTTTTCTAGCCCACACTGATTTCTCCCTTCTCTGAACTTTTACTGCATTTAATTTAATTTACTGCATTTAGGGGCGCCTTGGTGGCTCAGTCGGTTAAGCATCTGCCTTTGGCTCAGGTCATGATCTCAGGGTCCTGGTGTCGAGTCCTGCATCGGGCTCCCCGCTCAGCGGGGAGCCTGCTTCTCCCTCGCTCTTCTTGTGCTCTCTCTCTCTCTCTCAAATAAATAAATAAATAATCTTGAAAAAAAATTTACTGCATTTAATTATGTCATTGCTCAAGGTACCACTCTGAACATTTTATATTTTTAAAAACTTTATCTCCCCAACTCAGTTCTAAGTTCCTCACAATCAGGCAAACCAAGTCTTCAACTTCCTCTGTGAACTTTTGACACATCTGGCTGAGCCAGGCTTACTGATCCCTGCTTCCTCCCAGCCACCATCTTCCCTTCCTGTTCCTGATACATGGCTTTGCCTCCATACCCCAGTCACCCCCTTAACTCCTGCTTCATTGGCTCCCACGCTCCCCATCTTTGTCGTCTCCCCTCTATCTCCCAAGTGGCTACCAGCCCCTGTTCCTCTCTGGTCCCTGGGCCACCGACTGCTTTCCTCCTCCTCCCTGGAGTCTGTTGGAGTCTTTGGGCTCACCCTAGCCCTTTGGCCACTTGGGCGGGCCAGACATCACGTGTGGCCCAGCTATAGGGCAGCCTTACAGTGTTGGAACCTTTTCCAATCGAGTGTTGAATTTCTCAAGTGAAATGAGTATACAGAGTACAAGCGAGTACACTGAAATCAAATCAAAGTTTTGTAAAAGAAATCCTGTTGCCTTTTTTGCTATCATGATGCCATGTTGACACAGAGAAACTTTATTTCAGGAACTACTCATATCTACAACCGAACTTAAGGAAATGTCTGAATACTACTTTGATGGAAAAGGAAAAGCCTTTCGACCAATTATCGTGGTGCTAATGGCCCGGGCGTGTAATATTCATCATAATAATTCCCGGTGAGTTATTTACTTTCACTCCTCTGTTGTTTTGATATTTGGCAGGTCTTCCTTACCAAGCTTGCCATTTATTTAGTTCCCGGATGAAGCGGTAGCATTTATCTTAGAGTTCACTTTGTGGTGAGTAGTTTCGGGCTTTGAGTCCCCAAAGTCACCTGGTCTGGGCATCTTCCCTTTCCACACTTTTTAATGTCCTAGAAGAACAACCTCAGCTGCAAGTAACCATTTTGAAAAGAATTTTAAAAGCCAAAGTTAGTTTTCTTCCTCAGAAGTAAAGAAGAGCAGGGTGTGTACATACATGTAATCGTTATATACACGGGGCCGTTAGTCCAAAGGTTAATAGTTATAAAGTTCTGAGCTGCACGCCTGCGCCATGAGGGTCTGCCTTCCTGTGACCTTCGGAAATTTGCCAAAGAAAAATCTTTGGAGAAGAAGGCAATTTTGACTGTTGGTCCTCAACTTCCGTGTTTTGAATACGTATCAAATTTTTAAATATTAAAACAACCGTATTAAAGGAGATCTTATAAAAAAAGATTGACCCCTTGCCGTATGCAGCCATCTCCACTCCCTCTTGTCCTCTCTTCTTGTTCTCAGTCATTCTATATGTATCTGTGAGTCTGTACTCCCCCTGTTTTCTCTCTTGCCCACGTTGCTGGACTGTCTTCATAGCTGTTCCTTTTACATGGTCTGATCTGCTGATGGAAGTTCCAGTCCACCATAATGTGGACTGCATCTCCCTAGTGCGGACTGTTTGCGTTATGTTCCCTCTTCCTAGGGGAGCACGCTTCCGGGAGTGCCTCAGGGAGCGTCGGAGGTCGCCTCTTAGCAGCTGCTCCCCTCAGCCTTTTCTTCCCTGCTGCTGTGCCCCCTGCCCCAGCACGTCCCACCACCTCAGGGTGCCTCCCCCCCGACCCCCGCCAAGACCCACCAAGTGCTCACAGTGCTCGCAGTGCACTTGGGACAGCCAGTGGGATCTCTGGCCGTGGACCATCCTCGGGACCACGTCCACTTCACCTGGGAGGCAGAACAGTGGAAATGAACCAAATTTGAGATACATCTCACACGATCTAGAGCAGAGTTCTCGGCCTTGACGTTTTGGGCCAGATAATTCTTTGTGTGGGGGCTGTCCTGTGTATCACAGATGCTCTGCAGCGTCTCTGGCCTCTGCCCCCCAGATGCCAGTAGCAGCCCCCGCCAAGGTGATGACAACCAAAAATGTCTCCAGACATTGCCAGATGTCCCCTGGGGAGCAAAATCATCCCTGGTTGAGAACCACTGGTCTAGAGAGAGTGTGTGTTTTTATTTTTAATTTCTCAGATTAATGTCTAATACAGTTCATTACTGTCAGAGGTGACATGGGAAGGAAAACATCCTGCATTGCTTTATTTCCTCTCCATTGTTATCCCCATGGTTGCAAGTTTTTTCAGTTTGCCTTGCTGAAACTGTATAAACTTGGTTGCAGAAAACATGGGAGAATATAACACAGCAAAGGCATTGCTAGTTTAAAAAGTAAGTTCAGGGGCACCTGGGTGGCTCAGTCAGTTGAGCGTCCAGCTCTTGATTTCGGCTCAGGTCATGACCTCAGGTCACAGGATCGAGCCCATCAGGCTCTGCGCTCAGCAGGGAGTCGGCTTCAGATTCTCTCTCTCCCTCTCCGTCTGCCCCTCCCCTGCTCGCTCTCCCCCTCTCTCAAATAAATAAATAAAGCTTAAAAAAAAAAAAAATGCGTTCAAGGGCACCTGACTGGCTCAGTAGAGCACGTGACTCTTGATTTTGGGGTTGTGATTTCGAGCCCCACGTTGGGGGTAGAATTTACTTGAATAAAATGAAAAGTAAGCTGAACACTGCCCTCTCTGGGATCTTTTAGCTGCAGCCTCCTTCTCCTGGAAGTGGTGGGAGCAGGGCTCGGCAAAGGCACGGTGCAGAGGCAGAATTGTGATCGTGGCATGCATTTGAGTGGAGTAGTATCCCACAGTACCACTCTCCAGGCCCCCGCTTCTTGAGAATACTTGCTTCCTAAGAGCCCTTTTGAATCAGGCTCTTCATTGGGTAAATATCTAGCTGTTACTTCCTGCCTCTTACAGCAAGAGGGGACATGGGGACAGGGCGGGGGGAGCTTCTGGAGACCTGGGCCATTTCCGGTTTTGCTTGGTGAGAAAGACTTAGAACAGTATGGACAAAAAGGAGCTATAGATTCAGGGGCAGGACCTCACAGAGCCTCTGGTTCCAGCCAGTGCCACCAGAGGCATCCCCCAGCCCTGGGGGCACCAGAACCCGTTCCAGTCCTTCATCCGCTTGCTCGCTGGTGATGGCGGAATTGAGAGATCCCTGCTTTATCGTCTGACAATCAAAGTTTAACGGCTTCTGTGCAGCTTATCAGGCATCATCTTCTTGTTTGTGAATGTCTATTACATAGGTCAATAATAATCCTAGAAGGGATTTTGGAAAACCGAATAGAACAGACACCTAAGAAATAGCGAGGGGGGAAACTACCTTTTATTGATTTTCCTTCTTTCCTCAGTAAACTTTTCAGTGGTCCATTAAATCTTCCTTGCCAGATTGCTAGGACTTCTTAACCTGAGGTCCATGACAGTTATGGGGTCTGTGAGTCCCTTAGAATTGTATGCGGAATTTTTTGTGCATTTGCATTTTTCTGGGGAAGGATATCAGAAGCTCATAATATATTCTCCAAAGGCAATATGGCCCCGAAGAGCTTAACACTCAATCTTTATATTTCCTGTCTGTATCCTGATAACACAGTACCTGGGCAGGTAAAGTAGGAATGCACAAACAGAAAGACTCAGACTTGAAAGGTCCAGAAAACAGCTGCGGTGGTTCTGAAATGCGCTGCCTGGATCCTCCTGCAGTGAAGGACTCAGTGCTGGACCGGGTCTCGTTGGCAGAGAACCTTCAGTTCTGAGCCTCTTCGAGGATCGCGTCCGCTACAGCAAATCCTTTCACCAGAGCCGGCCCAGATGGGGGCGCTGAGAGATGAAGGGCCATTCTGGCTCCAGCGCACACTGTGGACGGGCCTGCATCACAGAAACTTCTCCCTCTACCCAGTCCTGTTTCCTTCTCGCCCTCACATGGCTTTTGATCCCAAGGGCACTCCCGAGACAGACACTTCAAACTTCAGAGTCTGCTTCCCAGAGAACCCAGCGTGCACCAGAGTTCAGCAAACTAATTGTAGGGCAGGACTTACTTTATCAAAGAATCGACATCAAAAATGAGCTTTAGGGCACCTGGGTGGCTCAGTTGGTTAAGCGACTGCCTTCAGCTCAGGTCATGATCCTGGAGTCCCGGGATCGAGTCCCACATAGGGCTCCCTGCTGAGTGGGGAGGCTGCTTCTCTCTCTCACTCTCTCTCTCTCAAATAAATAAATAAAATCTTTAAAAAAAAAAAATGAGCTTTAGATAAATAGGTGTCTGTAAAATTGCTCTCCTCACTGAACGCAGCACAGCTGTAGTGTCTGATCTTTCTCAAACAAGCCAAACCCCCTGCTCAGCAGCTGCATCAAAGGGACCTCCTCTTGTCCTCGGTCTTAGCCCCAGTCGTTCCTTTGTGGAAGTCTTCCAGCTCTGGAGGCGGCTGTCGCTGTCAGTGATTGGGGTAACAGGATTGCTCACATTGTATTGGTCTTCATTATGCAAGTCGCCAAGTGGCACTGAATCCCACTGGCCCAGTTACCAGAGCCAGACGTTTGATCAGATGGCACAGATTTTAAGATGCCATTTTCATATTAGTGACGATCTCAAGGGTCCCAGTGTGATAAAAATCCTACATGCAGAGGAGGCAACTTTTATGATTCTAATACAAAGGAAATTACAAAAGCCTACCCTCAGAAAACGGTAACGAAATAGTCATTACAGCACCATCTCACTTAAATGATTCCTGAGATCAGGCCATTCACGAATGTGGAGCCATTCCTGGTTTCTGTGTGTTCCAAATCACTGAGCCAGCCACTACCGTAGCGATTTATGACATAGGCGGGAAAGTTGGTGCCCAAAGAAACGTTTCTGCTTTTAACCTAGGAGATGGCCTTTCGATGTATCTGTACTCATTACTGAAATGGATCTTGAGGGCAGCAGGGGCACGCATCAGCCTCCCCTCGGCCAGCTGCGCCCCTTCTGCGGCTGGAGGGCAAGTGGAGCAAGAACTGGAGCCCGAGGGACAGCCCTAACCCCTCTGACAGGTCCTGCCGCTCTCACCGCCAGGAGCCTCCTTCTCTGGACCTGGCGCATTCTAGCGTCCCAGTGGCCTGGGCCCTGTGAGTGGAATGGTCGCCGAGGTCCAGGACATCGCGTTTCCCCATGCCCAGTGGAGGGAACTGGGGAGCCTTGAGGGTCCCCGCTCCCCCTGCTAGGGATGCAGAAAACCCCCATTTGGTGAGGAGCAGCTGTATTCACTGGTGAGTAGAGCTAGATACCTGTGATCACCAACGTCGAGCTAGGTACCCGTGATCACCAACGTCGAGCTAGGTACCCGTGATCACCAACGTCGAGCTAGGTACCGGTGATCACCAAGGTAGAGCACTGTGCTACCCTGAGCTGGGCAGTCGTGCAGTACTGACATGTCTGCGTCTACTGCTGGTCCCGTAAGCACCTCAGACCCTGGTGGGACCACAGCCATTGCTTTTAAAGTTGTTAAACTCTGCCCTTGAACAAAAAGACACTTAGCCTATGAAAGCGGACTCCTTGGGCATCCACAGATCCAAGGTTAAGTACTGCACTAGAGATATGTGCTACGCCATACTGATCCTCCTGGGAAAGAAGTTCTGTTTTCTCTCGGCCAGTCTAACTACATGATTACATGATGAGAAGCAACAACATATTATGTGTGGCCCCAGGGATCTTGCAGGGGACTTGTTAGGAGTGCCAGGCTGCTCTGTGAAAGGGCACAAGAAAAGAGATACAGGGTTCTACAGAAACTTGGTAGGGGACAGTCAGCATGAACCATCTGAGTCAGGCACATGTGTGAGTGAAAATAGGTGTCACCTGGA